GAGAGCACTGTCTGCAAGTAGACCTAGAGAGAATAATTAGTAGGTTTCGAAGTTTAATTTATAGAACAAACTTGGAGAAGAAGCAAACAACAACATATTTTGAAGTTACAGAATCACCCACCTTATAAATAGTGAGAGTCTTTTGATTTTCAATTCTTCAAAAGATTTCCTGAGAAAATTCTTTTGCAATAAGGATTGTTGCGTAGAATCGAGTAAGGCCTTATGACTTCAACGAGTGTGGCATGAATCGAACCCTGTTTCATTCCACAAAATCTTAATTAGTACTCTCCAATCTAAAGAGACTTCAATGAAAAGTTAGGGTTCTAAAAAAGTTTCAAACTTGAATTGGTTTTTGTACGTACCTTGGTGACAGCAAGAGCAGCTTGGATAACAAAATTGGCATAAGGGTCTTGAATTAGATGGTCGAAATGCGGAACAGAGATGAGTTCAAGCACGATTTGAGGACGGCTTTCTGGACAATGCGTTAAGCATCGTTCCACCAAATGGCTACTGAATTTCTGCATCGAAAGCTCTACATAATGCCCTTTTAACTGCGCGAGCACCATGGAAATCGCTGAAAACTCCCTTAGTTCTATAACGAATTGGACTGCGTAGTTCCTGCATTTGATCAAGAAGACAAAAGATTGTTATCTTGAATGAATCTTACATTGAAGTCTCTCTCAATCTCAGAGGCTAAATTCTTGTTTCTTGAGGTTGTTAATTTACCCGTAAGGGTCTTGAGCAAGGAAGAGACTGTTTCTAGAGATTTCAGTTATGAGCTTCTCTCGTCGCTGACCAGTGGAATAAGCAATGCACTTTTGTAGCACACAGCATCCATGTCGATGTGTCGCGATATCAATGCAGAACTTTGTAGCATTGTCAAATATGAACTACAAAAGAGATGTGATCTAAGTTTGTATCTTTTATGAGTCTAAAAGTGAAAGGGAAATGTCAGATTTTACCTGGTTATCTTCGGTACTAAGGCACTCCAAGCAACGTTGAATTACATGATTCCCATTCAAATCCCTAATGAGAGTTAGAAATCCAGGTCTCAGAGCTGACTTCACCATAGAAATTTGGTTCCTTGTTTTGATTGATTCCACTAATCTCTGAAGAACTCGAGTACTTAAAACACAAACAAACAAACAAAAAGCTTAGCTTGACAACAAATGGATTGTATAGTAAAAAAAACATGATCTTTATACCGAAATCTCTTTACCCGTAAGCGTTGAGGGATATTCGAATAAGCTGTCGAGGCTCTGAAGTAACCGTGAGTATGATCTGTGTTCTTTGTTGTTCATTGCAAACATGTAATAGTTTCTGAATCAAGTAATTCCCAAAAGGATCCATCATAAGCTCAACAACATGAGGAATCACTTCATTGAAAATGATCATAGCATCTAAAACAGTCCCATCTTCAACGATCCTCTGCAAGTATCTGCATCCATGTTGATCTTTAGCCATCAAGTAAACATATCCCTGGATTTCAAACAATGCTATTTTACGATGAACGATTGGTCGAACAGAGTCACCAAAAGCAGAGGAAACTCCAAATCGAAATCCCAGATTCTGGTGATGGGTCTTCTCTACTTGTTCGTCTCTGATGTTCAAACGATGGAGACTTTCCCATAAACCCAAATCGTGATCACTCAAATAATAATGCTTCGTCATGATTCCATCGAAGGGAGGAGAAGCGAATTGAGAGGAACCATCATCGGAACAACAAAATCCGTTTGAGAAGTAACTCGGAGACGGGGATCGGAGAGAGAACCTGGAAGACGAGTCACCGGGAAAGAGATTGCGATTCCGGTGGGAGTTCGGAGAGTGATGATTCAATGATGTTTGCAAAGGAGAGGAAGGAGAACGTGAGAGAGACGATGCTTCTCCATATTGATGATCTCTCATCATCATATTCTTCTTCGTTTGTTCTACAACAATCACACAGACTTACGATGATGTTTCTATGCCGGAGAAACAGATTCAGAGATCGGAATTTTCACGGAATATTCTAAAAGACCCAAATCAGGGAAGAAAATGTTTGATGAAGACGGAAATATATATGGATTATTTCATCATCAATTGGAATTTGTGCTTCTCTGAGTTGTTTCCATGGAGTTTTGTGGAAGATGAGCTCTCAGTTACTGGAGAAAGTGAGGAGACGGAGAAGAAAGGGAGTGTAAAGGGGTTTGTTTTTCAAAAGTTTTTTTTTTTTTTTTGCATAAATAGCTCAAAAAAACTTTTATAATTAAAAAAATGATTCTTTTCAAAAACTATAGGAAATTTTGGTTACTTTTCCAATATCGTAAATTTCCAATATCTCTTAGTTTTATTTATTTTTGTATATTTTTTTCTTCTTAGTAAAGATTAGGAAAAGTGTTTTTTTTTTTAAGTATTAGTAACAAGTACATTATATTTAACAGACACGTACGATTAAATATGCTCGATTTTTCTCAGTATGTTACAACTTTTTTTGACATATATTGATTTGAATCGGATGGGAAAAAAAAACATTACACGGAATTTATTGGGATCTCCAAATCAATTTTTGTTTTTTTACCAAGCATTTTTCACTTAATTTTTTGTTTACTGTTTAACACTAATAGAAGAATATGCAACGTGGAATCTGAAAATTGAAAGGTCATTATTAAAAGGTTTGACTGATTTGAAAACAAACGGATGTAGGTAGGTAGATACGATTACAAGAACTTGCGGAAATCGGTGGTTCAAATGTTTTTTTCTTTGAAAACTCAAATGTTATTAAACGATTTTATGTAATTGATATAGCAGCTGAAAAAAAAGTGTGCTTAGGAAAATAAATGTGGTAGTTGTTTAATAGAGATTACTAAAGTCATACTCTTTTATGTAAGAAAACCAAAAAAAATATTATTAAAAAAGTTTTAATTTCGAATCTTAAATAATCATAGAATAGCTAAATACAAATATAGTTTCAAGGTTAAAATCAATTGTT